TTTTTTTTTTTGTGGGATTCTCGAGTTGACTACAACTTATGAGCCCAGCATCTTTTAAGTGTTTACCAATAAAATGTTTCATATAGATGGTCATGGTGACTTAATAAGGCTGATCTTTGACAGTGGTCTCATCTTTTCCTTTTCTTTTGTCAAATGAAATGATATTCAGCTTTTGAATGTTTGCATTTGGCAGGAAAGAAATTGTGGTGCTGGCACTGATGGAAATAAGTTGCGTGCTTTGAGGCATTTGCTCATCCAATTGCTGCTTCAAGTGCTTCTTCGACCTGGGGAATTCTCCAATGCAACCTCTGAACTTGTAATATGCTGTAAGAAAGCTTTTACATCTTCTGATATTCTCAACTCATCTGGAGAGGATGAGTTGGATGGTGATGCATTGCCAGAATTAATGGATGTCCTTGTGGATACGTTGCTTTCCTTGCTGCCACAGTCATCAACCCCCATGCGGTCTGCGATTGAGCAGGTGTGTGCTGCAATGGCAAGTTTAAGAAATTTCTATGTTATTTTCAATATCATTTCGCTTACTGATGTTTAACTTGACACCATTTATTGTGTATAGGTTTTTAAATATTTCTGTAGTGATGTCACAAATGATGGACTGCTGCGTATGTTGCGGATAATTAGGAAAGATCTAAAACCTTCTAGACATCGCGATGAAGACAATGAGGACAACGATGTTGAGGATGATGATGATCTTCTTGGTATTGAAGAGGATGAGGATGTAGATGAAGCTGAGACTGGGGAAACAGCTGACAGTGATGAGCAGACAGATGACTCTGAGGCAGTTGTTGGAGCTGAGGAGGCTAGTAAAGAGCCTGATGCAGATGAAGATGAAGATTCTGAAGACTCTGATGGTGGAATGGATGATGAAGCAATGTTTCGCATGGACACCTATCTTGCCCAAATCTTTAAGGAGAAGAAAAATCAAGCTGGCAGTGAAACTGCTCAATCCCAACTTATTATATTTAAGCTCCGCATTCTTTCATTGCTGGAAATTTACTTGCATGAAAATCGAGGCAAGTATTTGTTTACTTGTGTTGATATTATTAGCTAAGGTCTCAGAATTAGTCAACAATCATTTGATAGAATCTCAATCACTGCTCTTTACTGATTAACTGCTGTTTCTAATGGGTGGGTTTATATATATATATATAGATATAGATAGATAGATGGCTATATCAAATAAGGTGGTTGATGATTCATTTGAGTATGGCTATTGTGTCTTCATTGTCCTGATTAATGCCTATGTTCTCTTTTCCTCAGGCAAGTCCCAAGTCCTTACAGTATACTCAAACTTGGCACGGGCCTTTGTCAACCCAAATAGTACAGAAGGCAGTGAACAACTTGGACAGCGGATATGGGGAATTCTTCAAAAGAAGATATTCAAAGAGAAGAAGCTTCTGAGTGTTGAAGCTGAGCAACTATCTACCCTTGAATCTTTGTTGGAGAAAAATTTGAAGTTGGCATCAAAACCATTTAAGAGAAAAAAATCTGCTAGCACCCTATCAAAGAAGAAGCTGGCAGCACTTTTGAACCGGCAGAAAATGATTGTTTCCCTTGCCCAGACTTCAACCTACTGGATACTGAAAATCATTGATTCAGGAAATTTTTCAGATGCTGAAATGCAAAGAGTTTTTGATATATTGCAGGCTGCGATTGTGGGGTATTTTGACAGTAAAAAGTCTCAAATAAAATCAGGATTTTTAAAAGAAATATTTAGAAGAAATCCAAGGATGGGGCATCATTTATGTGGCTTTATTTTAGAGAAATGTGGCAGTGCTAAATCAGACTTCCGGCAGGTTGATGCTCTTGACATGATGATTGAACTATTGAGGTCAGTGGTTCCTTTAAGTTCTAAAGATAATAGCAGCCGGGATGCGTCAAAGAAAATCATGAAAAGCCATCTGCAGTCTCTAAGCAATCTAATAGAGGCACTGGTGACTAGGATGCCAACAAAGCAGGCAAGAAGAGCTGAAGTGCGTAAATTTTGTGGTAAGGTGTTTGAGATTATATCAGCACTTGACCTGACCAAGTCTTTTCTTAAACGTTTGGGAACAGATGCTCATACTGCATGTGAATCTCAACTTGGTGAAGTTTTTCTCAAGTTAAAGATGTTGGAATGAGAGACAACCATAATATAACATATATTTGGAAAACTTCTTACAAGTGAATCCAGGAGACTACTCTGGCCATCTATGGTGCTTACACCTGCGTTCTGTTGTTCGAGGAAGTCTTAACAGTTTCATGGTGTGAGTAAACATGAGACAGCATGATATCTTCTGATTCTCCAGTGAGATTCTTAAAAGTTCTTTCAGCTATTTGCTTGAAGTTCCTCTGCTTTATTACAAGCGTTCATAGAGAAGATAAATTCTTGAAGCTTAGGCCCTACTTGCATACGGTCTTCACATCTATGTCAGTAAACAGAAACCGCCGACGTTATTTATCTGTCAAACTGTTAGTAGGTTTCTTTACTATGTTCACTTAAGTGGTGATCAATGTTGTTTTTTTGGGATCTTTCGTTATGCTTTTATAGGTTAAGGACCGGACTTGAATCCATAACGTTCTGATATTACATTTTTTGGATTTTGGAATGTCGATCATTAAAGGTTTTCCCATTTCTTTGGAGGGCTTAAGTTTTATTTCAGCCATTATTTACTTATTTTGTACATCATTTTTCACTTAATTCAAAATTTGAATACGAGGTCTTCAAGCCAGAGCCTTAAGCTCCTAAATCAGTTTTACCAACCTTTCCGTGGCATATTTTAAGGTAAAAATCCATGTATTACCTTTCAACTTTTTGAGTGTGTGAAATTTTATTTTTTATTTTATAATATATGATTTTATATTTTCATAATATTTGAGTTTATGATATTGTTATCCCAAAAACTCTCCTTAACACGTGGTTTTGCTCAAAACAAGAAAGATTTCTCTGACGACCCTCTTTTCTTTCCAAGCGTGGAACTCAACTTGTGAGTTGATGGAAAAACGTCATGAATTGCACCTTAAATATCAAACGATTGGCAGAAATGAGGGATGAACTTTCTGTACTAAATGGGTTATACGACAAAATGCTCTGGATATGATTCCAAGGACTCCTAAAAGCTAATGTAATCAAGAAAAGTTTAGACTGCAAGGTAAATAAATGATCGATAAATTATTGAAAATCTAAATAAACTTTAAATACGCAAACTGAATTGAAACAGAGCCTTAAAAAGAAATTTAATTGCAGCAAAAGTAAATAAAGTTATAGTAAATAAAACCCGAAGCATGAAAAATCTACTGGCAGCATGAAATGTAAATTAATGAAAATGAAACTGAACATAAAATTAAATGTCGACATCATTTGATTAAATTAAAGGAAATTTTGAAAACAAATAAAAAGGAAAGGAAGCAATCCGATTACAAAGAAATATTACTGAAGGCAGCGAAACTCACCATTACAAATTCGACAAAAGAAGAACGAATTGCCAAACTAATCTAAGTTGAAGCGTAGAGCTGAAATTAAATTAAAGGGCTTGAAACTAAGATGAATTTGAGTATAAAGAGAAATTGTGCTGAGTTTGTTGTGTGAGATGCCGATCCTTTGCTTGATCTTATCATTAGATATTTATAGCAGCTTGGCAGCATGGTAGAGATCTGCGGCAGCATCCTGAAAGACCAACGGCAGCATAATATCTGCAACAAATTGATTAATTTGTTGGTGTTGCGATTATCCTCCTAAAAGCTCGCAACAAAAGAACGGTTTTGCTGCCGTTGTGGAAATAACCACTCAATCTCATCTAAAGAAATCTACACCAACTTCCAACTAATAAAATATCTGCTATCATGAGTGACACGTGGCAGCACTCCATTTGTTGTAAAATTAGGTGTAAACAGATATCATATCCTCTTAATTTTGTAAGGTAAAAAGTAAAGTTTCACATATTTAAATATCAAAAAAGTATAAAATTTTATGAAAAAAAATATAAAGTCACATATTATAAGATGAAAAAAAAAAGTTTCTCGAAAAGTTGAAGGAACAATCTGTGGGGGGTTTGCCCATACTTTAGCCAATTATTGATTGCTTGGAACCACGCTCAACAGTTCACATCACGTCTCGCACTCAAAAGCTAAGAACCGAACAAAAGGAAATGTGAAGGCTGTTTTTTGCGCTTTTGCTTCCATCATCATATCATAAGATTGTCGAGTGTCATTTAATTTCACACAGGGAGGCCCCAACTACTGTGCCAACGCGCTTTTTTTTTTTTTTTTAACAAAGTAATGGTTAGAAAGTTTGAATTAATTATTAGTAATTAGGAATTCGATTTTTAGATCGAATGAATATTTCACCCCTCAAATGAGACGTGCAGCCATTGGGTCGCTTTTTGATAGAGTTCACGATGGTAGTAAAGTTCAAAACTTCGATCACCTCACCTTCGACCACCTCACCTAAACACTTAAAACTTGATGTCGAACTATTGAACCAAAATGCCAGTTTGCCAACGAGCCATCTGGTTCCTCTTTTTCTTTTTCTTTTTTTTTTTTTTTTAAACATATTTGCAAGGGACGGGATTCGAACCCAGCCCATAAAAAAAAGAATGCACTGAAATGGCTATTGTCATTAGGCCGCAAGGGTCAGGTGCTGGTTCCTCTTTTTCTTATCAACTCCTATTAATAAAATGAAATGTTCTTAGTTCGCCTTACACATAAAAATATCCGTTGAGATGGCCGAGTTGGTCTAAGGCGCCAGACTAAGGTTCTGGTCCGAAAGGGCGTGGGTTCAAATCCCACCCTCAACATTAAAATTGTTTTGCAGCTTACTTGTTCTATCGTGTCCCCCACTCCCACATATCTGCAATTTTTAAAAACACTTTTCTTTTTCTTTAGAAGAAAAAAAAGAGTTTTTTTCAAGACAATAGAGTATCTAATTTAAAATTAATTGAGAATAAATGAAGTTTTTCCTTCTAAAAACACTAAAAAAGAATAGAAAATACATATTGGTATTATAACATTGTTGTTATTCTCCATGATTATGAAAATTGAAAAGAAAAACCACACATATAGTTTTACATCCACTATGGCCTCAAACATAATTCAGTGGCTCAGGTCTCGGTGATTTCGAACTAGTCCATGCATATAATTGTTGGGTCGCAGCAGCATGAATCCAACAGCCAACAGCAACACAAAGCCGCAAGGCTGCAAGCCAATTCCCATAAACAAATTAAAATCACAAGTACATAATTAATAATATTTCAAATGAAAGTAAGAAATTTTAAGTTTAATCATAGACATGTAGGTGGATAAGATGTAGAGAAATAAAAAATGATTGTTATTTATTATACAGTTCAATATATTTAAGATCAAATATTAGTAAAAGAACAATAATAAGATTAATACTTTTTTTAATCTAATTAATGGTAATGTAATATTTTGAATATACTTATAAGTATAATAGGTAAAATTTACGTTATAAGTGTAATAAAAGACAAATCATCCATATCAAATTAGAGAATTATAATAGAATTATCTCATTTATGTAATTGAATCTTAACATAGAGCAAATAGGGTCACTTCAAAATCAAACTATAGGGTCACTTCAAAATCAAACTATGGCTCATTTATATTTGTTATAATAGGGTTAATTTACTTCATTCATAGAAAAAAAAAATTAAGAAGATTGGAGAGAAATCACTACTCAATTTTTAAATGACCTCTAAGGGTTGCATTTAATTACTGAACTAATGCCTCATGGCTTAAGGGACATACACTTTGATTAATAGGACATTAATTGTCTCTCATCTAAAGAAATAGAGGCCAAAAAACTATTCGAGGTTAAGTAGAGAAGAAAGTTACAGGGCAAAAATGGGTACATACCACCCCTCAAGGAAACTAGGTTCTCTCCTGGGTGGTTGGGGAGCTGCATAATACTGAGGAGGTGCCATCACTACTGGAGGTCCTTGATAAGTGCCTGCCCCATCCACACACATTTATCAACCAAATTTTATAACCATAGAGGGCAAAATTAACCTAAAATATATTTCTTAATTTCAAAAACAGATTCTTCTTCCGCATAAGCTATGATAGATCTAGCAGATGCAAGAAATTACCCAAAAAATTAATAATTTTAAAGAGAAATTTAAAACAATAAGATAATAAAAGAAAATTATGAGTTACTGAGAGATTGATGGAGCATATAGACCTTGAGGAGGAGGATACGCATAACCATATTTGGGGTCAATCATATTTGCAACGATTTCTATGCTTCAAAGCAATGAGGCCTGAATTGCTTTGAGGCCTGAATGAATATAAATAGATGAGGAGGAGATGAATGAGAATATTAGTTTTCTTGAAAAAGATGTTTTTCAGTTGGTTCGAACAAAAGAATATATTGTCACTATTTCTTTTATTTTCTTTTACACCCATTAGTGAAAAAATGGTCTTTTAATTTCATGCTTGGAAACTTTTTTTTTTTTTTAAATAATATAGATATTTAGACTTTTATGGCATAATATTTAAGAATTGACATGGCTAGAGAAAAATATAGAGGATTAGTGACATTATTTATGCTGATAAATTAATGAGACATTGCCTCCTTCATAGGTAAGGTGATTAGCAATAGTAATTAATATAAACCCAACTTTCGGCTAAAAATAACATATAATATATAAGCCGAAGTAAATTAAACTTAAAGCTCTTTACTTTGCTTGATTCGTTGATTCTGGAAGAAGGCAAAAGTATGGCCAGAAAAGCACGTTATATTCCTTTCGTCTTTTGTTTCCTTTTTTAAAAAAAAAAAAAATTATCCTTTAATTTCAAAGTTAAATAATTGAAAGAACTACTCTATTCGTTTTAAAATAAATGTCATCTTTAAATTTGAAATTTATCTTAAATTAATTATTATTTTTTTAAGATAGATATATTTTTTTGATCTTTTTCAGCTCGTTGAAAGATTAGTGTTTTTTTTTTTAACAGCAAATAATTAATTTATTAATTATAAGTCAGAGTATTAGGAATACTCCGAATGAGTACAAAATGATCAATAATTTATTA